TAAGAAAGATTCTGGTGAGAAAAAATGTCTTGCCCAACACAGTGAACTGACCTTCTTAGCAGCTGACCTAGCAATATATTCCATATATTCTTTCCACTTCCTATCAGCAGAGAACGTAAGCTCAAGAAAGCGCAACAAGTCACTTTCCTGGAGGATAGTATCTGCCATGCTGATGGAAGGCAGCAAGGGGTCTTTCAGATATTAATGGAGAGAAGTTTAGTTTTGGAGGCATTAAGACTAAATGGCCATCTTTTGCCCCAGCTAACTACAGACTTGAGGGGTTTTTTTTTTTTGGTGGGGGATATCAGCTGCCATTTTGACTTTGTTGGACTGATAAGCCTTACTATTGAGGCAGGATTAAATTGTCATCAGCATAGATACCAAATTGAAAGCTGATGTCATCAGGAATGTCATTAATGAAAATTAAAAATAGTGTAGGACCAAGAGTGTTAAATCAAGCCCTTAATTTGTCTGTTTTTTATGAAAATAGCATCTCTCTCACTCTTATTCTCTACCATTAATCCATATCTTCCATGATTTTAAAATACAAGAGCTTAAAATGATAAAGTACTTCCTTTTTTTTTTTTTTTTTTTTTCCTCCATAACCAGGTACATTTTAAACTATGCTGTAACCATCTCATGTTGAAATTCTGAAACTTCTGACCATTAATGCTTAATGTCTCAACTCTAATAGTGGGACCATATTAATGTGGCAGGGTTACATGGGCATCCTTTTTCTTAATTAATGTCTCTGTCTGAACTCTGCAATTTTATTCAGTAATTTTATATATATATATATATATATATATATATATATATATATATATATATATATATTCCTTTTCTCTCCCAGTAGGAGTAGATATGTTTACCTATCATCCAATTCACTCTCCTCCTTGGTTTTTTTGAACAGGATTAGAGGTTTGTTATTCACTAATTAAATCTTGACTTCTTCAAGTCTGGATTTAGCTGTTATCTGTTATCTGCATAGCCCCAGAAACTTCTTGTTCTTTGTCTTGCTCATACAACATTACACAGTAACCCTCTACCTTAAGTGGTTCTTGGGCCTTGTAAACATTAGGAAAAAATATCTCCCAGACAGATTTTCAGTACCTAACATGTGGGCTGATTCTTTTAGTTGTTGGTTTTGGTGAGATATTGCCAAAGGGTTGTATTGCTTTTGAATACCATTCTGTAGTTGTATGGATCACACTTTGTATAGTCTGACCAGCCAAGAACAGACAATATTTTGATAACTGAATAATGTTACTGTGAATTTATATGATTAAAAAATATTTTTAGCACAAATGGCTGCAAACTTTTCACAAGAATGTTATGTGTGGTTAAATTTGTTGTTTTCCATTGGGAGAATGAATATGCATAACATTTTTTTGACTTAACATTTATGCATTGATTTCAAGAAGGCAGCTAAACAATATCAACAGCATTCTTTCAATGAAAGAGAATAGGTCCTGTCTGAGATTTTGAGATGAGTTAATATTCATTGACCTTTTCTTTTTTCTGACAATCCTCAGCTTTCTTTTCACATTGCAACCACCAAACATGGAGATAATAAAAAAAAAACAAAAAAAAAAACATACTGAATTTAAGATAATATTTGAATACACCATAACTGAATAACAGTTTTTGCATTGTATAGTTTGTTCTTATTGCTTTAAATCTCAGTACGAACATCTATACAATGTTGAAGACTGGTTTTCTTTACAAAATACTATTTGTTTCAGGTTTAAGAAAGTATATTGGTTAGCTTTTCACAAAGATATATTTAAGATATATGAACTATTTTTATATTTTTACTTTTTTTGATGGTTTGATGGCTTTTGATACACTTTTGGCATAATATATATATATATATATATATATAAAGAAAGAACAGTAAGATATATAATCCGGTGTTCTTATAGATATTTTTATTTTTACAAAATAGTGCTCAATGTAAATTTACAGAGCATTAATATTATAAATTAATTGATTTAAAATATGGTTTTTTTCCCACTACACAGTTCTAACCATGTTTCAAAAAAGGAAGCTAAAAGCCACAAATTTAATTTTGCAATTAAATTAAAGACATTAGTTCCATTTCATCCTCAAGCGAATTTTGGAGTAACTTTTAAAATTACTGGGTTTTAAAGACACAGCTAAAATCACGTTTCCATGGTTACAGATAAATCAACTTCAACTGGACAAGGGTTGTCTGGGTTTTCCTTATGTCTGTATCATTGTATCGGTTATTACAATGATTAGCTGGCTATATATATATATATATATATATATATATATAAAGTTGTCTGGAGGCCACGGTTAAAGCGAATAGCAATTTTATTGAATAAATATATTCTTTAGTATTTCAAGACATTTTTGGGTAATTTTCATAAATATATCTGTTAAAATGAGATGTCAGTATTATTTTCATTTTTATGTAATTTAGACGACAATTTATACATCGCACCCTGTACTCTGGCTCCATGGTGATATATTTTAATAAAAGTGTTGTAGATATTACAATTCATTTTCATAGAAAGCAGAAGGACCATCATAAAGATATTTTTAGATTTATATATATATATATATATATATATATATATTATATATAATTTGATTTAAAATATGTTTTTTTTTTCACTACACAGTTCTAACGATGTTTCAAAAATGGAAGCTAAAAGCCACGAATTTAATTTTGGGATTAAATTAAAGACATTAGTTCCATTTCATCCTCAAGCGAATTTTAGAGTAACTTTTTAAAATTACTGGGTTTAAAACCATATTTTAAATCAATTAATTTATAATATTAATGCTCTGTAAATTTACATTGAGCACTATTTTGTAAAAATAAAATATCTATAAGAACACGGATTATATATCTTGCTGTTCTTTTTTTTTTATATATATATATATATATATATATATATATATATATATATATATATATAGAGAGAGAGAGATTTACTAAGTTTAGGTGAGTTCAACACAAAATGGTGGTAATATAAAAATGAAGATTGTGCTGCACCAATCTTTAGTGCAGAGAAGGGCAGTCTGCCTGCTTTAAAGCATCAGTATTCAGTTGTTTTTATTTGGATGCAGATGCTTGCCACTAGTGCTAGCAGAAAATGTACAACCCAGCCCAGCACATAAGGTTAATCTTACAATATTGCAGACAAATTTATATTAATACAGAAAATGCAAAAAAGACAAACCTATAGATATGCCTGTTCAATTGTGATGATGAGAATCAAACTTGTAGTCATTCTGACTATAGAATGAAAGTAATATAGTAAAGAGTGAAGGTTTCTAAATCTTCAGGATGTGAATGATCAGGTTTTTCTACAACTTCCTATCCCTTGTAGCTCTTAGCAGCTTTTCTCCCTTTGCCTCCAACCCTCCATTCTACCAGCTTGTCAATTAGATGGCCTGCTGATTTCCCCTATCTCTCCTTCCTTGTAAGGGTTAGGTTTTCTAAGCCTTCCTTCCTCATTATATGTCAAAAAAATTTCAGCTCTCTCCTTTTCTGATTCTGAGGGGTTTTTTGGGGGTTTTTTTTTTTTACCATTTTCTTTAAGACTTCCTCGTTGCTTACTTGCCACACCTATTAAGTTCTCATTATTCCTCTGTTGCTTTCACTTTTCTCTTCATCTGTGAGGAGATTGTCTAATATTCACTGCCATACAAGAGGGTTTATATCAGTTCAATAGTCTTTTCTTTGTTTCTAATGAAATTTTCCTGTTTCTTAGTACTTTTAGTGGAATGTGTTGGGATTCTGATGTCCCATTTTCCATTCTCAGTTAAAACACTTCCCAGATATTTAAACTTCTGTACTTGTTTGATGTTGGCATCTCCAATTTGTAGATTGCATCTTGGGCTTTTTTTTCTTGCCAACAACCATACTTTCTGTCTTCTTACATTTGATCGTCCTTTTTTTTCTTGCTTTCCTTTACTGCCCTGTCTAAGAGATCTTGTAGTTTTCTTTGTCTTTGTTATCAACACCATGTCATATGCATTTCTAAATAATGTTATTTATTTGTCTGTTTTTATTGTTTTAAGTCTTAATCAATTTGAAGAAATTTCTATTTGTTTGGGTAAAATGTTGAGTATCTGAAATTCTGCTGGGTTTTTTTTTTTTTTTAATACTAGGATTTATGGCATGTGGCGCAATTAGCACACTGATTATTGATACCAAAATTGGAATTGGCAAGCCAAATTCATATTCTAGATCTTCTCTATTACATTCATTTTGTACTGATGGTTTTAGGGAAGGCATGAATCCATCTTTACCTCCACCACCCACCTAGATATGGCTTCAGTTGTCTAGTCTTGGATGGCAGCCAGTTTGAGAGAAAGAAAACTAAATTCAAATCATTTAGGGGTACTTATGTAGATTGTGATGTGGCAACCCCTTGACTAGCAGTCTTTAGTCTCTCATCATGAATATGTCTCCTTCATGAGAAATGCCTTTGGCTGTACATAAATGCTCTCTAGCTAAATGCTCTTTGTTTTTTTTATTATTATTTTTTCTATTATTATTTTTCTATTATATTACTGTTATTTTGTTCTCATTCATTGACTTTTTTATTTTAAGTTTTTGTTTTCAAAAATATGTTTACTTAAGTATGCATGCAAGTTTAAATTATATTTACTTGATATATTTTACTTAGTAAATCTTGTTTTAATATAACAGATGAACTTTCTTATAAGCAAATTTGTATACTTAGTTTCCCAGAATATATTTATACAGCATTTTGTATATATCTTTTTGATTCCTTTTTTAATATCTTGTGCATTGTTGGTATAAATCAGCATTTCTGGAAAAAAATTTTTTTTTTTTTTTTTTCTATTCTTTGGTCTACATTATCTGGCAATTATTTTTCATGACATTCATTTCCTCAAATTTGGACAACTCAACCAAATTATCCCAAATCTGCAAATTCTGGCAAGATGTAAAAGAATTTTTTTTTTTCCTTGGGATTTAGTAATAAACAGCCAGAATGGCTTTGGGCAGTATATCTCTCTCTCCCTCCCTCAACCCCTTTCCTCAACTAAGTTCCACATATGTTGCCCACCTGTGAGGGTCCCACCTGCCCCAAAGCTAGCTGCATCTTGTGTGTGGGCAACTTGCTAGGAGACCTGAGCATCAAGAGGTTTCCTGTTTATTCAAAATAACAATAAAATTGCAAAACACCTTAGAGAGACAGAATAATTTTGGTTTTTGGATATCGAGAGAATCTTTTTTCTTTTTTTTTTTTTTTTTAAATTTTTATCCTTTATTTATTCATTTATTTATTTTGTCCTGTGGTAAGGAGTGGGGTCAGTCCAGTTATTTAAAGTCCTTACGCATTTCTCTAGTCTCTTGTTATTAGTGAACCCCCTCCACCTGGCCCTTCCCCTATGCTGAAACTTCACTCCCATCCCTCGACCCTACCATTTTGACTTCTTTCCATGCACCTTCCATCATCTCTCACTTCATTTTCTGTCATGCAAATAAAAATATCCACAATATTGCCACTATTCACGGACAAAAGTTTTTCAATTTACTCAGTTGTTTCGCAAAATAATTGATACATGCCAACAGACGTCCCTTAGGTGATGACTACGAACAAATTCTCCAAGCCTACTTCTATACAGATTTGCTTCTGATGGAGAGCTCCTTTTATTTCTTCTTTTAATATTTTTTCATTTTCTTTCTTTGTTAATATATATGTTCATTCTAGCTCTGTAAGGCTTCTGATTGTATGTATGTATATCTTCTTGTATTATCTATACGAGAGAGAGAGGTAAAGAAAGGTTAAGGCTGTGAATAAGACATACTGAGAAACATGCATAATCAGAATAACAAAAGTGGGGAAAATTGCATATTTCAAACTTATTTTACATCTCCAACCTGAATGGAAATCAAGAAGCTGAATACAGAAATTCGGGTAAAAATTTGAAATACAGAAATATTTTATATGTCAGCATGTACACATTTAATGTTGCTTATGTGCATGTCTATGTGCACACATAGCAGATAATCATATTTAAAAGATAATGGTTGAAAGTGCCTTTAAAAAAAATAATGGCAATATGTAATCTATATACTTTAACAAATATACATTAATATTTCATCCTTTATTTGTATCATCTTCAGAGACATGGCTTTAAATTCTTTTTTATCCTAGAAGCATCCTGAAAAACAACTTTGTCCCCCAATTTCTTTTTTTTTTTTTAAACTTTATCAATTATAGTTGTTAGTAGGATAATAATAACACCATTAGAATGCTTAGGAAATAAATATTTATTTTGATCCTTTCAATCTTTAAGCTGTAGTCTCTGTGTCCTGTAACTACTACTCCACCACTTGGTCACAGATTTCCCTGGGTCATATTGTTGAGCATTTCATTTCAATTTATGCTAAACAGAAAACACAGTATATGAATATTGTTCATTCAAGTCTTAACTAAAAATTGAAAAAAAAGAAAGATTTTTCTTGCTTTTTTTTATGAAAGTACATTTATTTCTTAGATTTAGGCACTAAATTGTTTGTTTCTTTTTTTGTTATTTTTCTTTTGTTTTTCAAATTGTCAGTTAAATGACACAAATATTTAAATTTAAGTCCTTCATTTTGTCATTTGGGTTTCATTTATTAGTTTAATAATAAGCACTTAAGTTTTTTTTTCTTTTTGTGTGCTTCATTTATTAAAACTGTCTACTGTCAGTGAGAAATAAGAATTTTTTTTTTTTTTCTAAGAAATTAATTGCTTTTTAGAATAAATATTATAGAATTTTAATTAAAGATTTTGTATCATCCAGTTATTGGCTCCGGATGAGATTAATCTCAAACCCTACTCATAACATTACTTTAATTCTAAATATATTGCTAAGTAATCTATCAATAATGTTTGTATTAACTCCTGGCCACAGCCAAGCCATTTCTTCTTGATTTTTAGCATATTTCTATACTAGAATCATTTACAATACATTTGTAATAGCTCTATTCTGGAAGTACCACTTGTCTCGATTACTGATAATCCTTTTTGTCTTGATGTTTTTAAATTTTTTTTTTTCGGTGCACAACTCACAAATTAAGTGTTGAAACTTACTCAAATTTTATCTAAGAAATTTAGTGGTTAAAGCATTAAATTCCACTTTTAAGCTCTGTTATTATGATGGTTTCATAGTCAACATATTGATATTCTACACTTCCAAATAAAAGGTTAAAAAGGATACCGACCACCCCCCACCACCACCAAACTCCATCATTACTGGAAAGAGCAGTGACTGGAGAAAACTCTTCTTAAAAAATTGTTTTAAGAGAAAGGTTTTATAAATTTCAACCAACAGCTGCTTGGTCAATGAATGCTGAATGTTTCCTTCTAAGGATTACCATATGAGAAATATTAGCTGATTTAAAGTTTAATTAATCAGATTTGAAATAAATATTGCAGAAATGTATTCTTCAACATGGAGGTAGGTGTTTATGGTGCTGACAGGTAGAAATTAATCTAATTTTTTTTTTTTTTTTTCTACAGGCAAATCTGTATAATATGAGTGCTATTTTTTATATAATTTTTAACTTACTAGTAATCTTAAAAATTTGGAAAAATATTCTATATAATCAGGAACACAGGATACACCTATATGTCAGCATCTCTAAATCTATGCAAATTATCCACCTTTACCCTTGCAAATATTTGCTGGTATATATATATATATATATATATATATATATATATATATATATATATATATTTCACTAAAAGCAATGATCAATAAGATTGCTTTTAATGAAATATTTTATATATTTATTCAATTCATTTAAACTATAAACACTTTAAACATAATATTAAATAATGATCATTTAATTGTTAGAATGACTTCATGGAATTATTTTTGATTTTCTTAAACCATTATACTTAGTCATTTATATATATATATATATATATATATATATATTTCTTTAAAGTCTTGTTTTAGTTTGAAAGAATTGTTTTTAATTGTTTCACAACCACCCTATTTGTTTGCACCTGAGAGTACATATACAAATTACCCTCAATGTCTTCAATTCCATCTTGAAGTGTTAACAAGGTTAGAAAAGTTTAAGTTGTGAGGCAGCCTGAAATGAAGTTACTGAATTACAAATTGTGAAAGGAGATTGTATAGCTGGCTGCTTGTTTCCAAGTATACCCGTCTCTTATAGTAGCTAGTTAATCTCTATTGCAGATGTTTGCTCAAACACATTTGTCTTTCTTCATTACCCACAGGGCCAGTTTGTAGTTTATACTGAAACTACAATGAGCAGACCTTAGGGCTTCTGAACAAGAGCGCATAATCTGACATGAACACCAGTTTGAAAACGGCCACAATGCTGAAACCTTCTGTCACAATGATTTGTGACTTTGCACTAGTAAAACCATCAATGGCTTCCAAGCAGTTTTGTATATCCAATTTCACTCACAGAGTTTGGGTTAACACATGCTATGGTTTTCAAACACTTTCCATTGGTGTCACTTGATGGGAACCTCTCCCAAGGCCAACACTATCACTAAATGACCATAGTAAGATTCAAAACCAGACCTCATGGTCGGAATGCTAACATTCTAACCACTCAGCTAAGAGAGGGTATACACTCACAATGCTCATCTGCAAAGGAAATAAGTATTTGATAACAGTTGGCCAATAGTAGCAAGGTACACTGCAGTTTCACACATTGCCTAAAACAATATTGGTAATCTAGAGAATACCTAGGAACAGTGTACAGATCATCTTATTTTATACAATGTCTTAAAGTTTTCAGGCATTCTATAGAATACCAATTTCCCATTTTGCTAATAGCCTACATGCCTCATAGTAAACGTGTGCAAAAACATTTATTTCTGGATACATATGCATTTATACTTGGAAAATATTTATCTTGTTTACGGATATGTTGTTGGTATGCTAACAAACTCCCTTTATTCTTCTATCTTCACATGCATCCCCACTATCTGACATTCTTTCTACCCCTTTTTTTTTTTTTTTTTCATCTTCTGGAGCCCCATTCCAACCACCCCTGTTCCTGAGCCTTCTTTCAGATGAAAGATGGAATTGGGGTGGGGTAAGCTGTTGGGGACAGAATAGGACAGCAAGCTGAGGTTGTTTGTGTGTGTGTAGCCTTGCTGGCAGGCTGGCTGGAGGCTATTCTTTAACTGTGATGTTGATGACCATTGGCTGAAATCAATTTCCCCACTGTCCATATCGAAATGAATTACTGCCTCTCTCCCCAGCCCAAGGTCTACCCAGACAAGCAATGTCCACTTATGAGCAGGATAAGGTAAGGAAATAAAAACTAGCAACTTCATATGAAAATCAAATAATTACCCAGGGAAACATGCTTTAATAGCCAAAAAGCAAAAGGATTTTTTATTTATTTATTGGTAACAGAAATGACATTCTTGGGAATATGTTCTGTGGACAGCCCTGTTCTTCACATGACCAAATGGTATGTTGATTATTAGATGAGAAGATTGGAGGAAATTTCTTGCTATTTTGCACAGATTAGGATAACAACATCATCAAGGGTTTGTTTGTTTGTGTGTGTGTGTGTATATATATATATATATATATATATATATATATATATATATATACACACACTATGAGCATCTTGGATATTACAAACAGTAAACAAACTACCTCTTATTGAACTGAGTATATGCTCTGTTTTGAAATAAGATGTTTTTCCTCCTCCTTAGTAATTATATAGTAACAAGTGCTTCTAACCTGATACCAGGAACATAATTTGAGTTTTCTGCCTGCAGTTTTATATAGTTAACTCTTGCAAGAATTATTTCAATGTTATTTATCTAGAATGGGGAAAATTGGAATGAACTAAGGAGTAAAACAGAGATATAGAATTGAAAAAGGAGAGACAATATATGTGTGTGTGTGTGTGTGTGTGTGAACTAATAAACCAGAATATTATGACATGTGGTAAGATTGAAAGCTACTGTTATGTAAGCTGGCCTCATGTACTTCATTTTCATGCATTGACTGCTGCAGTTACGGTCAAAAGACTTGAGTGACTTTAATAAAGGTGGAATTGGAATGGTCAGAAAAATGTCAGAGCCTCTTCAAAGTCGCCATAGATTGTAAGTGTGCTTACATGCAGTTTTGATGAATCTCTATCAACAAGAGGAACATTGCAAATGAAGTTTTAATGTTTTGGGTTTAAATAATCCAGAATGGGTTAATAAACCTTAAAAAAACAAATTCATCATTCAGCATATTAGCAGGAGTCCATGGAGGGGAAGAATCATCAACTGCAGACAAGGTCAAGACACATCAATGCAAGAAGTTAACAAAGTCTTTCCCACCAAGTACAAGCCAACAAAATGGTTACTATGGCACAAATTGCAGGTAGTTTTAATCAAGTTGAAAGAAGGCATTCATCACAGCACAATTGATCCTTGTGAATGGGACTATATAGCCACTGGCCAGAAAGTAATTGAGCACTTATGGAACTTGTAAGATCAATATGTTTGCTCAGCAGAACCTTCAGCATATAACTTGAACAAAGGACTTCCTGCTGTTTCCCCAGAGGAAACCTTGAGAAGTAGAGTTCATGCCTGACTGCTTTGTTGTGGAAAGTTGGAAAACCAACACCTGTCTTAATTTTTGGGATATGGAGTTAGTATTTATGCTATTTATATTCAGATTATTGTCCTCATCATTTTGGCTGTTTTGCCCTCTGGCCTTCCTTGGGTGTATATCAATCTAGGTAACCAAAGGGAATTCAAAACTGAACCTGTTATTTAATCTACAGGAGTAGACTGTTCTCTTTCCATTGCTCATGTCTAGGGATATCATCTAGTTCTTATTTTTATTTAACTGAACAGTACTAAATAAGAATTAGATGATATCCCAAGACTTGAGCAGTGGAACAAGGACAGTCTACACCCATACATTAAATAAAGGGTTCAATTCAGAATTCCCTGTCGATATATACCTGAGGAAGTTCAGAGGGCACAACAGCCAAAAACATTGTGATAATAACAACAAAGATGAAGATATTAGTCCAAATATTAATAGTGTAAATAATAACTAACGCCTTATTAGGCAGATGGTTATAATGTCTTGGATTGTCAGTGTATCATTATTAAATTTCAATATTTGATATTTTTTTGTAATTTTTCTATCATATAAATTTGAAATTATTGCTTCTGCCACTTACATATAGTGTGTTGCAGTACCAAACCCCTAGTTCATTAGATATAATTGTCAGAATTATTGAAAAGAAATTGATCAGTAGAGACATGTTGATGATTTGATAGGTCATGCTGCCTTAAAATGATTATAATATCACAATGAGCAAGCATTCATTTTGTTCTTCATAAAATCACTTTGTCAACTCATATGAATCTGCAGATCAAATATAAGAATGTATTGATTTTCTTTTTTGCATTTCTCTTAAATGTTGCTGAAAACTCTAAATGAAGTATTGACATTATTCAATGAATTATTCAGACAATTATCCTCATATTTGCAGTTTTTATCAGTGTCATTATGGTCTAAAATCGGGTTAGTTTTCAGTAGCAAATACAACCTCCTCACAAATGTAATATCGACTTGTAAGTCCTATTAGAAAGATTGCATGCATAATAATCTATGCTGCTGTGATAGCAAATAATTCTCCCTTGAGAAATCAGCCATATCCACCAAAAGAAAAAAAAATTCAAGTTGAAACTATGTAATCAGCAATAGCAGATCACATATGAAGAGAAGAGAAATGGAAGCATACCATTCTTCTGGGAATTTTAATTTAATAGAACTAAATTGGAAAGTGCATATGTTGATGGAGACAACAAAAATTCTTAAGAATAAGTATATAGTCTGGAACCAGTGCTCAGGTAAAGAAATGACTAGAATACTAATTGTTAAGGAAGGTTTTGCAGATCTGAAGTTAATACTAAACAAACATTTCCATGGATTTCAGTTTTCAGACTGACTTGCAAATTGCCTATATCAGCATAAAACTTTGACACTTGGATCTGTGAATTGTTTTACTTGGGGACATGGTGATATTTGTTAGAAAAATACAAAATGCATGTAAAAGTGGTCAAAGAATACTTCAACCAAAATGTAATTTTTTTTTCTTTTTAGGAGTGGGGCAGTAACCAAAATGAAGTTACTAGTTCAAATAACTAAGAGAATAAATACAAATCTCTCTAAGTTAGAATGAATGGAAATGTGAACCCAAAAAGTGCTGACTGCTTTTTTTTATTCTATTTAAATGTTTTTGTTTGAATAACCCTTAGAAGAAATATAAATAGGATGCATGGGGTACTTGCAGGTGACTCTCAAGATATAAATATTTAAAGTTTTAAAGCAGCCAGTAGGTTTATTAGATATTATTGTCTTGGCCTATTAACCCAGGCGTAGCATACCACTTTTTAAAGTGAAAATAGAAATATGCACTGATATTTGTTTTTAATTTTTCATTTCAGCTGATTGATATTTGAGTAGAATATTAACTGTGATAGGTTTCCGACACAGTCTGCTCCCTCCTTACAAACAGAGGACAGTATTTATGTAGCTCGAATTCTTCTCATTAACTTTTTGCAAACTGCCATTTTTAAAAGAGTACTGTGTTTTTTTTTTTAAATAAACATAATCATTAATTTTTAAATACCAGCCACATCAAGACTTGAATATCTACACCTTTCTTTCTATATATATTGATTCGCTTTATATTTTTTTTATTTGCCTACTCCATTTTCTGTCTCTTCTTTTTCAACGTTTCTTTTTTAATCTTTTTCTGCTTTTTTTCCTGAGTGTTTTCCCTTCCTTCATTACTATTTACTATTTTGTTTTTATCTTAATAATTTCATTCCAAGCAAAGCAATAAAACCACACTAAGTTACTGAGTGTTAGAGAATATGAAAAGAACAAAACACTATTAAGTAATAACAATAAAAAATAAAAAAACAAGAATTAAGAACACAAGATAACAACTGACATTGCATTTAAATTTTCAGAGAAAATTACTTACTACATTTGCTATTTATTTTTATAGCCCCATCTCTTTCTTTCTTTATTTTAAATCTCCCACCTTCTCTTAAGCTTCTTTTTTTTCTCTCTCTCTCTCCTCTGCAAAATCTCCCACCTTCTCTTAAGCTTCTTTTTTCTCTCTCTCTCTCTCTCTCTCCTCTGCAAAATCTCCCACCTTCTCTTAAGCTTCTTTTTTTTCTCTCTCTCTCCTCTGCAAAATCTCCCACCTTCTCTTTCTTTTTTTCTCTCTCTCTCTCTCCTCTGCAAAATCTCCCACCTTCTCTTAAGCTTCTTTTTTTTCTCTCTCTCTCTCCTCTGCAAAATCTCCCACCTTCTCTTAAGCTTTTTTCTCTCTCTCTCTCCTCTGCAAAATCTCCCACCTTCTCTTAAGCTTCTTTTTTTTCTCTCTCTCTCTCTCTCCTCTGCAAAATCTCCCACCTTCTCTTAAGCTTCTTTTTTTTCTCTCTCTCTCTCTCTCCTCTGCAAAATCTCCCACCTTCTCTTAAGCTTCTTTTTTTTTCTCTCTCTCTCTCTCCTCTGCAAAATCTGGCATTCTCTCTTTTCTTGAGAATCCACTATTACATTTCTGTTCAAATTTTATCTTCAGTCATGTATTTCAAAATATACTTTATTTGATAATTTATAGATATAACCCTTACAATTACAATTTCAGCTAATTAGGTGGATGTGCTGGTGGTGTAATGGATAACTGCTTAGAATGAGAAGTCAGAGAGCTGAGTTCAAATTTCAGTCTGGTTCACTACATTTATTTACATGCAAATATCTCTGGGAAAGGTATGAATCCATCTCCAACCAGTTATAGGTTAAATAATAGGACCCGCATCTGAAAGAGAATCATTGGTATTATGAAAAAAAATTTTAATGCAATAGCAACATGAAAAAAAAAAAAATCCAAAAACTCTAAATAACCTACAAAGGGTTGATAAGCTATAAAAAACAAATGATCAGCTGATTAATTGTTTAGTGTTAATGCCTAAGATGACTGTAAAGGTGGCTAAATATTCTATTTCTCCATTTTTAATTTTACCCTCTTATTTTTTCCTAGGAAGCACAGTGGTGTAATGGATAGCAGCTTGGATTGAAGAATTTGAGAGTTGAGTTCAAATTCCAGTCGAATCCATTACATTCACTTAGTGCTAATACTCTTGGGAAAGGTATGAATCCTCTTCTTCTCCTTCCAGCTATGGGTAAATAGCAGGACAGACTGGGTTCTATAGCCTTGGATGGCAACTGGTCTACCGCAGAAAGAAATGGCAACCTACTGTGGAAAAAAATTTGCTTTGTCAGTTATGTATTGAAAAATACATGATCGCCTAAGCGTGTACATTGCATGGTAAATAACTTTTTTTTCCTACATATCTTTTAAGATGAAAGTACCACAGAAGAAATAACTAGTGCTACTTTGGCTTGTTATCTACAAGGAAAAGATAACAAGCTGGTTTACTATGTAGATATTATTCCAAATTAAAATTTGTATGTAGACATTTTAGCCAATGTACATGCTGTTTATTGTTAGAATATAAATAAAAGAAAAAATTTTAATATTTTAATTACTTTTTTTTTTTTTTTTTTTTATATATAAATTTTATTATGTAGATATCATTCCAAAATAACATTTGTATGTAGATATGTTTTCCTTGTAGATAACAAGCCAAATTAGTATCAAGCAATCTATCTTTTTTTTTTCTATTTTGTCCTTTTCTTTTTAAATACAATAATTTTCTATTCATATCAATCTGCTATATCTTCTTTAATTTCCTCTTATATATATATATATATATATATATATATATATATATATATATATATGTGTGTGTGTGTGTCTATCTCTGATATTGAGCACTTTATCCCATAAATATAGCATACCTTAAGACTATATATTCTCTCTCTCTATATATATATATATATACACACACACACACTCTCTCTCTCTCTCAACTGTGACATTTTTCTAACTTTTGTATTTGTACAAACCATTCTTTTATATTTGCTATTAGATCTGAATTCTTGCCAAATTTCCTGCTGCACGATTGAAAGTAGATTGAATAAATACAAGGACAATGCTGACTTGTTTGCTGCCTTATTAAATCTCAGCTCATGGAATATGAGGCTAATGCTCAAAAGTTTGGGGAACTTAAGGCATGATATCAGTTTGTCAAAAAAAGAAAATGTGGTTCTTTATTTCATGGCTGAGTGATTTCAAGAGATGTATAAAATATCCCTCAGTAACACTTAGGAAACTGCAAAGTAATTTAACCAGTGATGATCACTCTCTTCAGATTCTTTGAACTTTGGAGTAGCGCCTCTTGCAGTATCTAATTTAGAATACTCTTTAACAAAGTTAAAATTCATAACTTCTGATGTTGTTTGACCCCCCCCCCTCAAGTGAAAATTCGTTATGCTTGTCACTTGTGCAAATTTTAGAATAAGCATCAACAATCTGTTAGGATTTTTAGGTGATTGTTCCTGTCTCTCTCTCTCTCTCTCATCTTCCTCTACTCAGTTTTATGTTTTTCAGGTCAGTAGTCTTTTTATTTATTTTTTTTTTTTTTCACTTTTATTTTTTCCCTACTTACCTCTCTAGTTCTTCCTCTACCCCTCATTTGCCTCCTTTGTTCTTCCTCCTCCCTTTGTTTGCCCCTCTTTCTCTCCCTGTCATTTGCTTTTGTTGTTCTTTTCTCTCTCCCCTCTTCCTCTCTCTTCCCCCTCTTGTTATTCCTCTCTCTTCCCCCTCTTGTTATTCCTCTCTCTTCCCCCTCTTGTTATTCCTCTCTCTTCCCCCGCTTGTTATTCCTCTCTCTTCCCCCCTCTTGTTATTCTCTCTTTCCCCTCTTGTTATTCCTCTCTCTCTTCCCCCTCTTGTTATTCCTCTCTCTCTTCCCCCTCTTGTTATTCCTCTCTCTCTTCCCCTTTGTTATTCCTCTCTCTTCCCCTCTTGTTATTCCTCTCTCTTCCCCTCTTGTTATTCCTCTCTCTCTTCCCCCCTCTTGTTATTCCTCTCTCTTCCCCTCTTGTTATTCCTCTCTCTCTCTCTCCTCTTGTTCTCTTCTCTCTCTCTTCCCCCCCCCCTCTCTTCCCCCTCTCTCTCTTCCCCTCTCTCTCTCTTCCCTCTCGTTCTTCCCCTCTCTCTCTGATCCACTTGTCTCTCTCTTGTTCCTCTTTCCATCTCTATAAAATATTTTCTTCATTTACTTTCTCTTTATCTTTCTTTATCTACCCCTCTACTGCCACAATTTATTTTCCCTTTCATAACTTTCCAACTCCAACCATGTTTAGTGTACACACAAACAAACCAGAATAGAGAAATCTGAGGTGTCATATTTCAAACCCATTTTACATAAGAGTGAGTTGAGCAGATGAATTTGGTTGCTATATTGACAGGATTACTGATGGGTTTCCAACTCTTCTCCCTATCACCTCTTTTCCATCCTTCCTCATCCACCTCCTTCAACATCTAGCCACCCCCCACTGCTAACATGCTAGCTCATTCTTATCATTAACTTCATCAAGAACATCTACCCTCCTATTCCTCTCCACTCTCCCTACCAACTATCCCAGAACTTCTTGTCTCCGTCACATACCTTCATCTGTCAACCCACCTCTCTTTTACCCATCCTGGAGTCCATGACTTTGTTGTTTTACTTAATTTTATCAAAAAAGGAAGGGTAGAAGAACAAAACACAAAAGCAAATAATTGCTATCTGCTTTTCTTTTATAGTTTTGCATGCTTTCCTTATTTCTATATAATTTAGTCTTTTCCTTTCATTTTACACACACACACACACATATATATATATAATATATATATTTTCTCATTTTTATATATTCCATATTTAACATCATCTAAAATTCAACACTCTACTCTGCCTTTTTGCCATTTTTTTTTTCCTTTTGTTAAGAAAAAAAAAGATTTACAGCAAATGACAATGGAAAGTTAATACTTAAGAACAGAAAAAAAAAAAAGAAATTTTAAAACAAAAATAATTAATCAAAATAATTTTTGTCCCTAAAAGAAGTAAAACTAATATTAAATATGTTGTAGACAAAATGAATGAATAAGAATTACAAATGTGGAACAAAGAAAAAGGGAAGAATTATGTCTGATAAAAAAAAATAAATAAAATACCCATGTTTGCATTTCCATGCATAAATCTATTGTACACTTGATATTCAGAGCTGGAAAGAATTAAAAATGTAAACTTTTATTTTCTTTGTTTTTGTTTCTGTGTGACAAGAGTTGCTGCATTTCAAAGGACATTAATTTGGTCTATCATTGGCCCTAATATTTTTTTTGCTTCTTATATCACTTTTTCTATTGTTATGAATCATTATGGAAATCATCTTCTTTTTTTTTTTTCTTTTTTTTTTTTTCTTTTTTTTTCACATTAATTGTTCACCCAATACAAGGCCCAAGAGCCACTCAAGGTAGAGAATTACTGACTGAGATTGTTATATGAATATAAGAGGATGAGATAAGAAGAGCAGATTAACAAGATATGTAGGAGAGATAACAGTTAATCCTAGACTTGAAGAGATTAAGATTGTGGTGATTGGAGAAGCATTCCTCCCAGGAGTCTGTTACGTAAAATAGCAGTTCTTGGAAAGAAGCCGTTTGAATGAAATTCCCTTCTTACTAATAGAATACAAAAAGAATGGGTTTAAAATTGAATACTCCTCATGGGACTAGAATTAATTCAGACATCCCATTTATAGATTTAATGTGGAGATTTTGGTGTGAACTTCTTTCTAGTTTACTTGTAGTAAAAGGCAAGAAAAGGACAGTATTGTAAGTTGCATTTCTGTTCTCTCTCTCTCTCTCTCTCTAAATTTCTGGAGTACAATCACCAAAGTTAAGCAACATCAAGCCTGGTCAGTACCTAGATGGGTGACTGCCTAGGACTACCAGGTATGTGCAAGTGATGTAATGGATAATGACTGAGAGCTGTTAATCAGAGAACCGAGTTCCAATTCCAGTTGGGTTTGTTATATTCATTTATGCATAAATTATTTTGGGAAATGTCTGAATCCACCTCTTTCCTTCAGCTATGGGTTAATTAGTACAACTTATCTCTAAATCATTATTTAAAAAAAAAAAAAAAAAAACATAAAAAATATTTTCTGCCTTTAAATAACCTGTGATGGCTTGATGAGTCATAAAAAATGAATCAATAAATTTCTGTGATGACTTATTTACATTTGTGCTAATTTCTTCATCTCTGTTCTTATCTCAGTGTTTTGTCTGTTGTGCTCTCTGGCCTATTCTAGATACGCATGTTGATCTCCAAGACCTTCAGGCAATTATAAGCTGAACTCTTTATTTAATCGACAGTGGTAGATTGATCTTGTTCTTTAGTACTGTGAATTACAAATTGGAAATACAAAAATTAAACCAGTACCAACATTGAAATATGTACAAAGTGTTTTAACAGAGGATGGAAAATGTGAGAACAAAATACTGTGTTATCACCATACTGGATATTTAAGTAAATACTCTGTTTAAAATAAATGTAGTTAATACAGTTTATTATAAACAGAGCATTTATTTAAATATTTGTATCTATTAAAATAATTGTTGGACTTAGTCCATTTCATAATATATGATGTCATTTGTTTATGTTAAGATACACTTTGAGCAGATATAAGCATTCAAGAAAAATCATGGGAAATTTGTTGTTTAAAAAGAGGAATTTGACTTTGCTAACCAGACCTTGCATCTGTAGCTAAATGGTATAACACGGCAGGCTATATGACAGTTCACTGTAGGATACAGGTTCAATTCCTGCTGGAGGACATATTTTCTATGAAATTTTTCAGACACTCAGGCCGGTAAATGTAGTTAATACTATTTATTATAAACAGACCATTTACTTAAATATTTGTATCTATAAAAATAACACATAAACAGTGTATATATATATATATATATATATATATATATATATATATATGTGTGTGTGTGTGTATACATAAATTAAAATAGTTCATTTGTCTTTTTTCAGTCAATGTGATGATGATTATATTGGTGTGCCTGTTAAATCATAATGCAAAATTTGAATCTTCACGACTTAACATTTTATTCACGCGTATATTTCATCAGTTACTCTGGTATGTGGGTTCTGTAACATTGTCTTTAATGCCTGCCTGCATTTGTTCCTTATTTCATTGCATAGTTTTCTGTATTCTGTTCCATGTCTTGGCATTGTTTTCTGTCTCCTTTGCATCATGTTGGGAATCTTGTTTGTGATCCATTTGTTTTTCTTCATTCATTCTCCTTTGGGATGATTTCGTTTGCTGATGTCACTAAAGTTTCTCTTAGTGTGTCTCATTTCAAGTTTACATTTACATTTTGTCTCTTGTATCTTCTTTTCACACTTTCCATATATTTTTCCTTTGGGTTTGGGTCATTCAGAAGTCTGTTGCATTGCATTTTGGATGCTATGTTAGGCTTCTTCAGTTTCCATAGTTTCACTTTTAGTTTACATATAAGAGAGAGGTGATCTCTTCAACAGTCGACACTTGGATAGGTTTTGTTGTGAACAACTGCATTCCTGAATCTTTTGTTAATGGTTATGTAGTCAATTTGGTTTTTAGTTTCCTCTCCTGGGCTTCTCTATGTCTTGGATGTTCTTTGAACCAGGTGTTGGCTATTACCTGGTCATTGGCCATACACCATGGGACACATTTTTCTCTGTGTTTGTTGCTGGTTCCTACTCCGAATTTGCCAGCTATCTCCCATGCCTTCTTTAGCATTTAGGTCTTCCATGATAATTATAACTTCTTGTGATTTGCACTGAGCCTTGGCATTGTCTAGCATGGAATAAAAAGATTTGATTTCTTCTTCTGTACTTTGTGTTGTCGGTGCATACATTATTATAATAGATATGATGAAAGGGTTTCTTTTCAGTTTAACTACAAAAATTCTTTCAGATAATTGACAGTATCTCAGAATGCATTTCTAGATGTCTTGATTTAGTAATAATTCAACACCTTTTTCATTTTTCTAACCACCTGCATATATAATCCTTTGTCACTAACAAAATATCTGTTATTTGGCCACCTTATTTCACATACAGCTAAAATGTTGACATTTAACAGACTCATCTCCTGTTCTACATTTTCCAACTGGCCACAATTGTTTAATGTTCTAACGTTCCATGTCCCAAGAGCTATTTTTGTTTGATGTGAGCAGTCACTGGATGACTGTCCAATGACACTTGTTGTTCATGTCACTCCTTTCCGGGCAAGGGAAAATTTCTGAGGAATTTTATCCTCTTTACACTGTTTATGTTAGCAGTTGCTGGATGGCGGTCATGTGTGAGGAGATAATTCCCATCAACTTAAACCCTTCAGGCCATTAGGTTTCATAATTTGTTTGTTAATTGCCATGATATATCTTGGGATTAATAGTGGAGTGGTTTTCCGTTGCCTAATCCACTGTGGTTTATGGTGTCACTGCCTCTAGTTAGCTGGCTGTTGACTCAGCGAGAGTTCTTCTGCTCTTTGTAATAGAGATGCTAACAGCCTTATGATTTTGGCATAGACAAAATTACAGAAATAATAAATGGAATCTGCAACAGTGATGATATACTGGAAGACCTAAGCAGATCTATTTTCATAGCACAGCCTAAGAAACCAGGCACAATTTAATGTGAACTCCAAATGCATAACAAAACTCATCGTCATAATTCTGATGAATCAGGCCAGAGATAGGACAAGAACAATGTGAGTTTGTTAAAGATATATCAGAACAAGGAACACAATATTTATGCCTAGAATGTTATCAGAAAAAGTAATACAAATGCAGAAGAACATGTAGCCTATGTCTTATAGGCTACATAAAGGTGTTTGACAAAGTAAACCACTTTAAAGATCTGTTAGAGGTGCTCAGCAATCTTGACATATTTGGGAAAGACATTAAAATCATCAAAAATCTCTATTGGCAGCAAACCGCCTGAATACGGATAAAAAATGAGTTCAGCAGATATACAAAAATAGAAAGGGGTGTAAGGCAAGGATGTGTCTTCTCACTGGACTTATTCAGCCTATACAGTGAGGCAATTCCAAGAGAGAGTGAAAATCTTACCAGGATTCATGACTGGCAGCCAAATCTTAACAACATAAGATATACAGATGACAGTGCTGATAGCAGACATGGAAAGGAAACTACAAAACTTTCTACAGAAGGTAGTGAAGGAGAGCAAGAAGAAGGGACTAAGCATAATCTGCAAGAAAACAGAATGCATGGTCATCAACAAAAAGATGAGTCCAAAATGCAATTTACAGGGTGGGGACACTAAAATCAAACAGGTACAGAAATTTAAATATCTGAAAAATGTTCTAACAGAGGATGGAAAGTGTGACACGGAGATCCGAAGACTATTGGAGTGGCCAAAGATGCATTCCAAAAGCTAAGAATATTATAAGACTGGAAAGTTTTATTGTAAACAAAGAAAAGAGTACTGAACTGTTACATGA